GATTTGAGTCATGCTTGAATTATGAGGTGAGGTGTTAATTAGAATTGCTGGTTCATGTTCTTGGATTTTCTGGTTTATTGATTTCTAAATTTGACTTTTACAGCATGGAGGGTGTGATTACTTTGACTGGTTCGATCCTCCAATGTGTCGTAGGTCTAAAATGATAATTCCGGGCCTCTTGAGAAAGATGAATGAAAGGTAAACTGAGATTGAGAAGCTGAAACAGGAAAATGAAAAGTTGGTGGAGTTGAACAAAAAGTTGAAGAAGATAGTCTTCATTTTGGTTCTTTTGCTGGTGTTGGTTATTTTATCCAATTTCAAAGGTGCTAAGAACCCAAATGCAATGAATCAAGTGAAGATGCTTCAGTGACTGTGATGTGTTATGTTTAGATGTTGTTAGGATCTTTAATAGCATTTTGAATGCTTCAGTGACTTTGATTAAGATGGTTAAGATGGTAGGATCATGTTTATGTTAAGCTACTTTTGTATGTTGTGTAATAGCATTTGTTAATGTAATATGTTGGTACTTGGAATGACAAAAGCTGTTTTGGTGTCCTTATTTTCTAGCTGCTTTGTTTAATGCTGAAACTGTAAGAACATAAAAGGGCACAATAACCTGTTTATATTACTTGTTTACATAAAAGTAAACAAAATCCATGTAACATCCAAACAAAACCTGTTCATTCCAACAATCATTCCAAGAACCTGTTCTAACAAATCCAGCAACAAAATTCCAAGAATCACATGAGAACCATTCATTCAAACAAAATCCATGAAACATCTAAAAAATTCCAAGAACCACATGAGAACCAAAACAAATCCAACATTCAAACAAAATCCAAATAACATCTACACCAAAACCTGTTTGTCCACATTACTACCCAAAACACATCTAAGATAACATCCAATTGTTTCACAAACAAAACATGTCCAAAACAAATCTAAGTGAACATTCATTTTTTTCACTTCTTTTTTCCATTCCCTTTCTTCATTTGCACTCCAGTTTGGCTTTCTTGAGAGAGGTTCATGAACTTTTTCCCACCTTCCACCACAATTGACTTGGAGCTGTTGGGCTTGGTACTGAATAATGGTCTGCTATATCCTCTTGTTATTGGTGGGGGTGCCCTTATATTGATCCTAGTCTGCAGAGGGTTAGTCACAGGTGGCTGGTTTGAGGACATCTTCAGCTGCTCAAATGGAGAAGGACCTGGCTTCTGAGGCTGCACATACTGATATAGGTTGTTGTCTACCTGGCTTTCAATTGCTGCAATCAAATCCTGGTCTGAAATCACACTATCCATTAGATCCTCTTGGGTGGGTGGTAAAATCTTTGGATTTGTATTTTTCTTCTCTTGTTGTGTATTAAATGAATTCTCCACACCTCTTTTGGTAACCTGAAAAATATAAATAGTTACAGAGAATCTGGTTGTTAATGAGGAAACAAAATACATGATAAAAAATAAGAAAATATACTTGTGGCTGAGGCTGGTCATGTTCATAGGAGTCCATCTCAGTATAGTTATCAATTGCTGCCATCAACTCCTCATCTGAGATCACACTATTCATCAAATCATCTGCTGTGGGTGGTAAAATATTGGCATTTGCAAGAACATCCTGTTGTTGCTGTGGTGCATCACAAGACTTTCCAACCCCATCTGTGTTTTTCTTAGTAACCTAGCAATGTTGATAAAGAGCAATTAATTAAAAGATATATTTCGTTAGAAAAATATGTCATTTTTCTTTAATTTCTCCCTCCTGATAGGGATATTGGCATTGGCATTTGCTTCCTGTTGCTGTGGTGCATCTTCTGTGGTTCGCATAGTGACCTATACAATATACATAAGCATAAGAAATTTCTTAGAATGACCAATGTATTAAAAATACATGTTTCTGTTAAGAAAATAAAAGAAATGTAAGGACAAATTTAAATTTACCTTGCATCTGAGAGCATTGTGACCTGCTTCATGGCATTTAGAACACCTCAAAGTTGTTTGTTGTTTCTTAAGCTTGTATGGACAAGTTGACCTCTTCCTTTTACCCCTCGGTTCATCAGGTTCTCTTCTTCTCAAAGAAGTCTGCCCCCATACAGATTGACCACTCATTGGCATGATTGCATTCTCATATGCCATTCTGTAGGACTCTACTGAGTAGAAAGGGCTCACAAAGTCAACTGGGTCTTCTTTTTGGTTGATAATGGCTCTAAGAGCATGTGAGCAAGGTATACCACTCAACTCCCATGCCCTACATGTACATGTTCTTTTGTCAAGAACCACAGCATATTGTTCTCCAGCAGGGCAAGAAATTTGATAATTGTTATCATCTGCCTTAATAGGAATGCACTCAGCCATCTTCTCAACATGTTTGTCCAAGATCTTTTGAATCTTAGGACACAATTTTCCATGCTATTTTTTAGCTGCTCTGTCCCTATTCTTTTGGAGTCTTACCATCAGATACTCTCTAATCCATTCCAGCAAAGTGATGATGGGCTTGTCTCTTGCCTCAAGGATGTTTGAATTGAAAGACTCACAGACATTGTTAAGAACCATATCACATTTTGGGACACCTGAGAAGTGTGATTTTGACCACTCACTTGGTGCTTTATCATGAAACCATGCCCATGCATCTGTACTGAGATTTTTCATTTCCATCATCCTCCTCTTAAATTCCCCAACTGTAGTAGCCTGTGCAGCACTCCACAATGGTAACTTAAAACTTAATCCCCTGAAACCTGCATTCTTGAAGTTGCAGTGTAGGTGTCTAACACAAAACCTATGAGTACTATTTGGAAACACCTATTTGAAAGCCTGTATTAAACCCTTTTGTTTGTCACTCGGTCATTTGCTCATCAACATCAATCTCTAGGTCTGACTTAAGTATGGTTAAAAACCATGACCAAGTCTCTCTTGTTTCTCCACTGACAATAGCATAAGCTATGGAGTATAAATTGTTGTTGCGGTCAACACCCACTGCAGTCAACAAGATACCTAGATTATGTCCCTTTAAGTGACAACCATCTACACCTATTATAGGCCTACATCCCATTTTGAATCCCCTTTTCAATGCATTAAAACAACAATAGAACTTATTGAATCTGGTTTCACCATTTGAAGTCACAGTGTCAATGATGACAGTGCTTCCAGGATTGGTCTTCCTCAGCTCATCAGAATATTCCCATAACTTAGAGAATTGCACAGAAGGATCACCTTGTATCACTTTCAAAGCTCTCCTCTTGGCCCTGTATGCTTGTTGCATGTACACATCAACCCCAAGTTTTTTAATCATTTCAGCCCTCCACCCTTTGGTTGTCCTCTTAGGATCAGTCTCAAAAGTTTCAAGATACTTTTCACTCAACCATCTACTTTTTAAATTCTTCACAATGAAATCTGGTTGACAACTGTGATTAGGAAAGTATGTAGAAATTATGAAAGCCTGGTCATCTGCTTTTTTAAGGGCATTTATTCTCCATTTGCACCTCTCAACCTTACACTCAACATATACCCTTCTATTGTCATTCTTTGTAAACTTCAAGTTTCTTTTTGTGGTAATAGCATGAGACTGAATTGCCTTCTTAAATTCTGCCTTAGTAGCAAAAACCATGCCTAATTCAAATGTTGGATTGAAAATAAGTGCAGGGTTGAAAACAGGCTCACTTGGCTTACACTCTTCATCAGACACCCTATACTCATCTTGTTGAGGGCTATCAATAACCACATCATCTTCCTCATCATCATTATCTGACTGATTCACATCTGTCCCTATATCATCATTATCTGAATGATTCACATCTTTGCCTGTATCAGCAGGTTCTGAATGATTTACATCTTTGCCTATATCATCATTATCTGAATGAATGACATCTTTGTCTATATCATCAACATGTTCTTCCCATAAATCATCATCATCTTCACTATCAGTTTCAGGACTCATGTTGTAGTCAGAATCATTTAATTCATCAGAATCAGATTTATTTTCATCCACAAGCTTCTTCCTACCTAAGTCTTTACCCATGACTTGTTCTCTTGGTAACCAGATGGAACCCAAAGTTTTCTTAATTGTCTCATTTGGAACAAACACAGGAGCAGATTTAGGGTCTTTAGACTGACAAGGCTCATTAGACTCATTAGGGCCAACACCAGGATCAGAAAGCAACAAATCAACATATATATGCATCTCTCTAGTTCTAACAGCATCATGAAAATTTTTTTTAAAGTCTCTGTCACTGCACAATAAAAAAAACCCACTACTCTCATACATGTACATCCCCATTTCTCCAGTAATACCTACTTGTTTGCACCACATACTCATAGCCAACATTCCCAATTCTTTTGGGGTGACATAGTCAACTATAAAAAGCTTACCTCCTTCATATTTTGGTACAGGGAAATGTTCAAATTTTCCGCCCCAATGCACAACCAATGTGAAGGAATCAGACGTAGGATCTGTACGTTTATGGGAAACAAAAAGTTATGAACAAGGCAAAAAAACCAAAACAATACACAAATCAACGGACACGAAAAATGTGAAGCAAAAGTTCAGATGTTGGAGCGATTCCCACTTACGATATATTGGAGGAGGTAAGTTCTGGTGGATTTTCTGACGGAGGAATCCCATTTGTGTTCAATCTTGTGCTCAATTGTGCTTTTGATCTAATCAGTAGTTCGGTTGAAGCGATTTGAAAATTCTTAGGGTTCTAATGTTGGAGGGATTTGGGAATTGGGGAAGAACGATTTGGGGCAAATTTTTTTTGCCCAATTTTTCCCAATTTTCGGCTTTTATATTTTGTTGAATCGGTCCACGTGGGAATTCTAATTTCCAGCAGGGCAAAAAAAACGTGTAAATAAAATGCCACGTGAGCGACGCGTGGATTTCCGGCCCGGAAAATCGTA